TTTTTGTCAATGACTCCCAAACCAGTTGGCTTTAGGGCATTAGGTGAAGAGACACCCCTAAGAACATACTTACTCAAGTAACAAAGGCCACGAAACATTCGACTTCTTTTTCTTCTTTTTTTTTTTTTTCCAACCATACAACATATTCTTCCCTAAGCTATCACTTGTCTTTTGACGCGAATACTAACATTTGTGATGAAAGGACCCGGTTACTCAAAAAGTCATAAACTCAAAGTGCTTTGCATACTCATATTTCAAGTCGCCGTTTGACGTGAAAATTGACATGGGTCTCATGCCTAACCCCCAGTTACCAAGCAACTAAAAAACATTGGAGTAGAAATTAATAAACTCTTTTGTATTGGCTTTTTTTTTTTGTGCTATTTAGGTGCTACTAAGTCTTCTCTCTAAACTTCTTACTACAATCTTATGCTCAAGTAGAATAAAATACTCATGAACTTAAACTTCATCACAATGGTGCTATTTTTTAGATTTTGTATCTCCTCTAAGAATTAAAGAATTAGAAGTTTTTTGAATCACCAACTCCAGAATATTTAATTCCTTTATACTAATTGAACCAACTCCTAAAAAAAAAAAAAAATTACCCTAATAAAAGAAATGCATGTGATGCAAATATGCGAAATAATATAAGAATGTGACACCTAAAAGTTATTCTCTCCCCCAAACTTAAATCAAACATTGTCCTCAATGTAAAATAAAAGTATAAGAAAAAAAAGAAACTTCCCAGGTTCTGCACTTGAAAATTTGAGATTTGGGTGCTGGAGTTGAACTGTCTTCAATGAAAGGAGACTTCTAGCATGTACATGTTTAAAATCTTGTCCCCAAACTTGCTTAATGCCCTGTCCAACAATTAGGAACAACGAAATACTGTATAAGCCACACTATGCAATTAAGCAAATCACATTCACCCAAAGTTGACGAACTCTCTCTTTTTTTTTCATGCATGACCCAACAATTTATCATTCCCTCATCACTTAGCCTGCTCGGAACCCATAGATAGTTTGTTCAAAAACCATAAACAAATTTCAAGCTTAAGAAGCAATTAGACTTCCTCTGCTAAGGATGTGCAGTCCAATATTTAACCCAAACTCCAATTTCATGTCAAAAACAATGCTAACAATAAGCAGGGCATAACAATTAACCCAGTGTCATGAAATGAGAGCTCTATTACCAAATTTCAGTAGCAAGGAATTTCCTTGTTAATTAAAATCCATAATGGTAAAAGCAGAATCAAGCACAGTAAATAGATATTGAACAGCCAAAAACAAATTTAAACCCCCAAACTCAAGCTATCATCATTTTCAATGTATTATAAGTAGAAGAAAAACTTCCCCATATGAGCAGTTGAACATTGGAAGGTGAAACTTGGGTTGAAATGCTTCTAATCTCAGTTAGTGTTGAAATGCTTCAACCTAGGTCATGAAAAAAAAAAAGAAGTAAATAATGAAATCTACACTACCTACATAAAGGATAAAAAATAAATAAATAAATAAATAAGAGATAAAAGAAAAGAAAAGAAAATAAAATTTAATGCTTGGGTTGCTTCCCAAGAAGCGCTTATTTATAGTCAATAGCTTGACTGTCCTTGGATGATCAAGTTGGATTATGTAACTCAATGGCCATCACATGCTTGTTGTATCCGCCATCCATGTAGGGTTTCAACAATTAACCATTCACTTTAAATGTGCCCTTTGTATCGTGAGATACTTCCACCACACCATAAGGAAAAATTCTTGTCACCATGAAAGGACCTGACCATCTGGA